ATTGAGGAAAGATCTCATAAAAACACTTCCATATTAATTAGCAGAAATCAATTGCAACATGTTTTTTATTTAATTATATATTCCATACCTGCGTTCTTGCGTTCCTTCCAAAAGAACAAAGAAAAGAGCACACACTTACTCATACAATCGCAATCAAGGTTCACCATAAAGTTCGGGTCCAAATAGATTGATGGAGAACTATATATTGATTACTTGTATGTGACTTTTCTGGACTACATTTGTCAGAATTTAATTGATGTGATCATGGAGATGACGCCCATAAACCCATTATTGCCAGCAATCATTCCTGAGATATTCTAAATAACCCAGACTTGCGTGATAGATATACTCTCATCACAAGAGGCTACGTCCAATGACTCGAGACCGAGTAGTAAGAAGACTTATAATGATTAAATTACTTATATGTGGCTAAGAAGATCAATTTAAATTGCTGTAAGCTATGGAGAAGGTACGCCTACTCGTTTGCCATCAAAAATGCTATCAGTTATTAGTTATACTACTTTTATGTCTATTATTTAAGCGGCTAATCATGACTAGATTGTGCCAAATACGACCTAGATAAAATTGTAAAGTACATATCTCTACTAAGCAACTATGACGAATTGTGTTTCATAATGTTACAAAAAAAACTCATTTATGACCAACTATTAATGCGCCACTTATCAGTATTTATAGCATCAACATCTGGCTGACTGCACTTTGGAAAAGCAGTGAACTGTAAAGACAATGTGATTGTCTACAGGGTGTCCCAAAAAGATGTGCACACTGTTTGATACTCTCTTGCTTTCATGTCTTTTGCCGAGCTTGAGGTACCATTCTGTAGAGCGAGGATAAGCTTAGATTTACATTATGGAGCGAATCACCAATCACTCTTTGTTACTGTAGGATCACGGTTTGAACTTTCAGCATACAGCTTCACTGTGGAATAAGCATTTTGATGAAATAACCTCGAAAAAATCTAAAAATTTGTGTAGCAAGGTTTTCAGGCGTGCTGATTTCACTACATAACTTTCCACCAGTTTTCCGAGCTTTTTTGATGACTATTCACATTTCTGACAAACCTTGGAAAATCAGTTGTTACCCTAAACCTGAATTAACTCATGAAAGAAATAGTGCATTGAAGCGCAATTTCCATATTTAGAATCAGCAACTTCGATTAACCCAGTTCAAGAGTTTCTGGCTTGTTTGGCTTTCTTTCTGAGGCAAAATACCGCTTTCAATGGCAAAAAATCCTCCTCGAAATTCCTACTGTAATGAAGAGCTGCTGATAAGTCGCTCCATATTGTAAATCTAAGTTGAACCTCGCTCTAAAAAATGGCACCATAAGCTCGGCAAAAGGCATGAAAGCAAGAGACTTATTAACAATCAAACAGTGTGCACATCTTTTTGGGACACTCTGTATAATGACGAAATTTCTTCAACGCGTAGTATTTTTAAATTTTTGGGATTCCAATGTTACAGTTCCACTCGTGTCCCAAATTTTCAAATGTAGCAATCAAGTGCAAGTACTCTATGCTAAATTCCGATTACCTTGCTGTACCATTTCAAATTTTTATGGGGGAACACTGCCCATCATTATCACAACCTCAGAGGACTCAACGCTATTCATGAGTGCGAAAGAAAATAGAAAAAGGCTCGTATCTCAGAAGAAATGTTTTTATGCACGTCCTTTCAGTTATTTCTTTATAGCAATATTAACGAAGCTTTATTTACATAAACAAAGCCCACTACTTGCTGTGACTTCAAAGTGGTGGCTTGAAAGGAGAGGAATTAAAGTAGTGACCTAATTAACAGCGAGTCATTGTAAGCATTTCGCAAGCCTGCTAAAATCTCTTCAACTATGAATTGGATTGTTCTCGGTGTATTTTCGCCAAGGGTACTGTGTATGCCGAGATCTACAAAGTTTCGATTCCAAAAATTTATTAGGATTTCACTGTTAAGGGAAAAGATATGTCAAGATGAGCGAATTGCTTGTGATCATACGGTACGCCTGCGACTGTCAATGCGCCATATTTAACACACTGACAACCGCTTGACACACCATGTGCGTCAAGCAGTGACTACCACGTGAGACCCAAAGCTTGAACTTCGTTAAAATGAAGACTATTCTAGTATAAACTCATTCCAAAAGTTTTCTCTTGTTGTGAATCTAGAAGTAACCTCTATCTTTTTTGTCAGCCTTCCACAGCAGCTGTAGGTATACTGTAGATGGCATTATGCGTGATTTTATCTGAAAAATGATGACTGGTCCGTGAAAGGTTTTGGTCCCAAGAGGTAGACAATAAAAAGTTTGCGTTGTCTTCAACGTGTTAATTTTCCAAACCTGTGTGCTCTTCGATCAACCTGAGTGGAAAATCGGATTTCGCAGTTCCTAACATTCTTCACAATTTTTGGCTGTAGTAGATTAACTAAGATATTAAGAGAATATGGCCCAAGTAAAGCTTGGACTGTCACAACTAACGCTCATATTGGTCTTCCTGAAAAAAACCTTTGAAAAGACGCATGAATAATTGTGCTTATTCGAAACCCAGTCCTTATTCATATGTTTCGGGATCTTTCTCTGAATAAAACTTGGAAAAACAAACCAAAAATGAACGGAACAACTCGTGAGCGATCACTCTCCTACCAAACTGTAATTGAAGTGGAAATAAGAAATAAAAGTGGATATCGAAGCAAGTATACGATGTTTCGTGTTTGATGAAATCCATAAATTTCAGCAACAATTTGTAAATGCACTTTGCGGTCTCAGCGTTCATGGCACGTTCAGCACAAATTTTACGAAAACATTATCGTTCATTGGTCTGTACGGCGACGTGGCCAAAATTGACGGCAAACAATACCATAACTTTGATATATTGCAGAAAGAGATTAGCAAAAGTTATAGATAATTATATGTTGATTTCGATAACCTCTCAAAAGAAATACCTGTGGACTAGTATTCGTCACTTACTAATTTTTATAATTGGCGTCACAGAGCATTTTTTACCGCAGCGTCAAAGTATTTATAGGGCTCCTCTGCAGCAAATTTTGTGCCTTTGCTTCTTACGTTCCTCGTTTCAATGCTTCAGTTTCTGATTTTTATAGAAAAAGAAGAGAACTTTGCAAGTTACAACGTCTTTTGCTACCATGAGCGTGCTAATCCAGAAGTCATAAAATTGCGTTGACTATCATAAGGGGTTCTGAAACTTCAAAAGAAGTAGGAAAAGGAAAATGTCTAGTAAAAATAAGCTGCATTTGTTTGGAATTTCGAAAGTTGAAAAACATTTGAGCTGTGTAGATGAGTACAAATGCGAAGCTAATAGATACTTTTCTTAAACGCTTGATTTTCACCAGTTTAAGTTACTTTCACTACTCAGAAAACTGACCGGAACTTCTGCAGAACGTTTGAGAAAGTTCAGCCGGGTCAGCGGAAGTTCCGTAAACGGCTGCGGAAGTTCCCAGATGAGGTGCTACGGAATTTCCGAATAATGCCAACTAACAGCAAAAGAGAACACCTAAGCGAGATTTCACTCACTCTCTTGACTGTGAGACCAACCTACTATCCTTTGCACCACGGTTGGCATGTTCGATGCACTTTAGTTGTTGGCGAGGCAACATCACGAGACAACACATTCAAAACCCTGCGGAAGTACTGGCAAATCAAAGTGCTGCGGAATCGCGGGCATTTGCGGGAGTTCCGCAGCGCTTTGTAATAAATTCTGCGGAAGTTTCCATTTTCAACGTTTCTGCTTTTGAAATAGAAAACAAAGTCCTGCGGAACCGCTGCAAATTTTGCTTGCTCAGCGGTTCTCGCCCATTGGTAATCATCTATCTGTTCACCATGTGCTGCTTCGATGCGTATCTTCAATTACGTTAGAAATTTTTGTCATTAGTAGTTAGCACAAGAGGTTAGAGCTGCTTCAATCAAACTTCCCATCATGGTCCTTCACAATCAACAGAAAGTCGCAGGTGGAAGCACACTGCACCGGGAATGATTGAGATGTTTACAGTTTTGCTTTTACGGAAACTATATTGATAGTGCTATATAGGAAGAAAGCCACACCATTGAATTTCTTCCATATTAAAACGCTCATTAGCAACAAAATAGTTTATCTTAGGGCCGCATGCACTAACCTCCCCGATGGGGAGGGGATCGCAGCTTAAAAGAAAGCTTTATATTTCGAAATTCCAGATACCTGGATTTCAAGTTGTGTACCTATCCGTAAGTATTCCTACTACCCTTCACTATGACCATGTTGAACACGAGCGAGAAGCTGTACGAACTGCATTTTCCAGCTTTTGTATGATCCCTGATAATCCCCTGCGCTTTTCTTTAAAGTCATTTTTCTTTCTCCGAAGTTAACGAAAACCTTCCAAAGTTGTACTGAACATCTAACACAACAGTGCTAAGCATGCTGCTGATGAGAACAAATGAGTGTTTGAAAAGTCGAATTTTTCGGTAAACCTCAAATTTCGACCTGTAGATCATTGAAAATTTCATGACTTCAAAACATCATTTGTTCTTATCAGCAACATGCTTAGCACTGTCGGTTTAGATAATCTGCACAACTTTGAAGGTTCTTCGTTAACTTCGGAGGAAGAAAAATAACTTTAAAGAAAAGCGCCAGGGATCATCAGGGATCATACTAAAGCTGGAAAATGCGGTTCGTACAGCTTCTCGCTGCTCTTCAACATGTTAATAGTGAAGGGTAGTAGGAATACTTACGAATAGGTACACAACGTGAAATCCAGGTATCTAGAGTTTCGAAATATAAAGCTTTCTTTTAAGCTGCGATCCTCTCCCCTCGGGGATGTTAGTGCATGCGGCCCTTAGAGTACAGTCGATGTCTCACATTTTCCATGCTTATAAGTAGACAATAATAAGATTGCTGTATAGAAAGCCTACCATTGAATTTCTTCCATAACAAAACCCTCAGCAAGAAAATAGGCGTTTATCCTAAAGTGCAGTCGATGTCCCACATTTTCCATACTGTATAGGTATACAATAATAAAATTTCCGACAAATTCTTTCAGCGAAAGCTTCGTAGCACCTATTAGGTGGGTACGAAAGTTTTGTCAGTTTCTTCAATCCATCGGCAGACGCGCTAGAATGAAGATAACCAAGAACAAGCGCTTCAAAATGTATCCAATGCAGAATTTCTTCCTCTTTCCAGCTGCTTAACTCACATTGTGTTTCGTTGCAAGAGTAACGAGATAATTCCTGGAAATTACAACAACTCGTTTTTACCATATCCGACTTTCACTAATTTTCAAAACTTTTGTATGAGACTTTCGGAGGAGCCCTAATAACTAGCAGATAGGGCAAACCTTTTGCCAACAGAAGCAATTTTTTGTAGACCTACGGGTTGACTTTCAGAGTTTCTACGATTTATTTTCTGAAGTGGCAAAATTTTACATTCGGCTTATTTTAACCTCGTAAAACGCCACAAAATGTTGAACCGTTCAGTCACCGTTCGATGCAGATTTTTCTCATCTTTCTAACACTTGTCTTTTTTTACCGAGACGAGCGAAATTTGTGGAGAAAATCGCAGTATTTCTCACAACGTAACCTATGTTTCAAAATCTTCATAATTAAAGCGAAAATCGCTCATTTACTTCATAATGGTAGCGGTAGTAATAAACATGTGTTGAGACCTCAGTTTTCTTTAGGTTTTGCTGTGTTTTGAGCAATAACAGGTTATGCGATTTTTCCAAAGCATAAGACATTTAGAAAATTATTTAGCAAAAATCTGAAAAAGCAGCTGAAAAAAAGAAAAAAATTGCATCTGTTGGCAAAAGGTGCCCTATCTGCTAGTTATTAGGGCTCCTCCGAAAGTCTCAGATAAAAGTTTTGAAAATTAGTGAAAGTCGGACATGGTAAAAACGAGTTGTTGTAATTTCCAGGAAATATCTCGTTACTCTTGCAACGAAACACAATGTGAGTTAAGCAGCTGGAAAGAGGAAGAAATTCTGCATTGTATACATTTTGAAGCGCTTGTTTATCTTCATTCTAGCGTGTTTGCCGGTGGATTGAAAAAACTGACAAAACTTTCGGACCCACCTTATATAAAAGGACGAAAGCAGGCGAAGCCACATATGCAGAATGGTAGCACTTGGAGAATACTTCTTCGTCACAGCGGTATGTTGCATTTAGCCTTCTGTTCAGTAGTTTCGTTTTCATTTTGAGCGATCAAACACTAAAGCTGCACTACCTTCTTTCATGCTATTCTTGGTCCAACTATCCATCCAGCATGTCTCAAAACGAAAATACGGAAGGATGAAAGTGTCAAATAGAAGTATCTCCTTAAATTTGCGTTTTGAGATGCAGTGACACTTTAAAGTCTACCATCAAGCATAATAGTGGAAGCTCATTAACTTTGCAACTAAACAATTTCGTTTACAAACGGATCAGAAATACTCTTTTATCAAGTGTAAATTCGTTGTGTTTCCATGTTGTCTATAAAGCGCTTTCATATCGCCGAGATAACAATATTTGCGAGCGTAGAACAGCAGTAATGACAAACTAGATAATGAATGATAGTATGAGAAGGCACTGAAAAAATAATTTATATTGAAGAATTTTCGTTTAGTTATGGTTGTGCTCGATGTTTGCGATTTCTTCACAAACACGTTCGTGCAGTAGCGGAGAGAAGAGATTTGATAAACTTTCTGCCATGTTTGATTTCTGCGTAAACCACTTTCTACTTTCAGCATGTGCCAATTACCCTAATCACACAATTGATTCCAACGGTAGAGACCTGATTCTAAAGATTCACAATCAAAAAAGGTAAGTTTGCTTTCAAGCATCAAAGATAACCGCCACAAAGCATAACATTTGGCAGTTGCGACGCTTCTCGAGAGAAATAATTATCGCATATGAAAATTATTTTGTGCTAGCTGGTTTTTTTGCAAAAAAAGCTTACAAAAGCGTGTAGTCGAAGTGGCCTTTTCAGATGAGACCCATACTAGTTTGGAGAGTGTTGCACAGTGATTCCAAATCTGCCTTCATCATTGCCAAGCGCCTTTGAACATCGAGTTAGGGCGTTTTCAGGTCAAAAATTGAACGCCAAACTGAAGCAAATTCGCCCAAACTTGCTCAAATGGTCGGGTGTTCGAGCAGTTCATGCAATGGATACATTTTGTATAATATGCTAATAATTAACTTTACTTCATCTGACAAGGGAAGTTCACTTAGTCGAAGTGGCGATCCGGAGGGAGATCTATACCAGTGGATAGAGCTTAAAAAGCTGATCACAGATATACCTTCTATATCTGCGATGCGTTTTTCTGAAAAAAGTTATGAGCTTTTCTAAAGCCAAATTTTCGTGCATTTTGAGTCGCAAAATTATGATAATTGCTACACAAAAAGTGTGCAAGCTTAAGCAAACCACCTAGTAAGCATTGTAGGTCTAATTCGAGTTCATCCGAACGTTTTCGAGTGTTTTCCGACCATGTTGTTTATTCAGAGGCCGTCATTTTATTCCTAGATCACACTTCCATTATATATACAAAAAAGCCCATATCCTCCATCTAGAAGAACGCGTCGCAGATATCGAAGATATGTTTGAAAACATCGTTTTACGTTCTATCCATTGGTAGTTTCCAAAAAGTTTCCTACGCGACGCGTTTTTCTAGATGGAGGTTATGGGGCTTTTTTGTATACATAATGGAAGTGTGATCTAGAAATGAAATGACGACCTGTGGATGAACAGCATAGTCAAAAAACATTCGATAGCGTTCGGATGAACTCGAGTTAGATCCTACAATGCTTGTTAGGTGATTTGCTTGAGCTTGCACACTTTTGTGTAGCTATCATCATGATTTTGCGACTCAAAATGCACGAAAATTTGGCTTTAGAAAAGCTCGTAACTTTTTTCAGAACAACGCGTCGCAGATATAGAAGGTATATCTGAGATCAGTTTTTTAAGCTCTATCCTCTGGTATAGGTCTCCTTCCGAATCACCACTTCGACTAAGTGAACTTCCCTTGTGAGCGCTGGAGAAATTGTAGCAATTGTTTTTACCTGTATGCATTCATTTTTCGCTCCAAAAAGCGGTCATAACTCGGTGTCCAGAGACGAGGATTTTATTCTATAAAACTGTGGACATTTCCTCCCATTCCCGATTATGGTTTAGGGCAAGCTAAATAACCCAAACTGGTCAAAATCAAGCGCATATAAATTGAGATCAAGGGTAAAGCTTCCACTAATCCCAATTAATCGTGAATAGAGCTATGATGATGGTGTTTAGTAACTTTTGGGCATTTGGACAATATTAAACACTTGATTGAACAAATACTCACTCATGACCCAATCAAAACAAATGCCACCATTGAGCTTTCAGGGTGGCGACAGCTACAGCTCAATACAGAAACGGTGCCAACGCTTTCAAGATAAGACACGCGAAGAACATGATGGAAATGGTTTTTCTTTCCGAGCGTTTATTTTCTCAACAGCATTATTTTCATTACGAAATTTTAGAAGTACGACTGCGAATTGGAGAAGGCTGCACATGATATAGCAGTACAGTGCAATGGCGCAGAAACCCCCCAAACGTCACTTACTACCGAGGGCGAAAATTTCTTGAAAATTGACAAAGTGTACTCAGAAATAGGAACGGCATCAAACGCTATTTACACAGTAAGCTTGCAGAGATGGACCTATAATTCGGAAATCAAACGTGACGTCAGCCACGCTCAAATACTTTTTTTACAAGGCCCATTTGAATTTCTTTGAAAATTATTCTCATTAGTTAAGGTATTAGATCTTTGCGAGAGTAGCTTCGCTTTTTTATCAACGATTTTATTTTTACGATTGAGTTGGCCGAAAGGGAAATTGGACTACCAAATAAAATTTCATTGAAAAGAATTATGGCGAGCTATGAAAAAAGAAAAAATGTTGTATTGATTCGTTTAGAGTTTGCTCTATCCATCCATTACTTGGAGTCTTTCGGAAAATTGACATTGAAATTTCTAAAGATTATGAAACTAGAACATCTTAGAAAGCATGGGTCGCAGATTGTATTGAATTTCCGAGAACTCGTTGACAGTGCTGCAATAAGTTTGTAGCAATCAGAAAGAGAATGGAATGCTGCATCGAGTGCTATTGATATTCGGTTCATCAAAGCTTTAGCTCTCCACTGGCAAACACCACGGAGACCGCTCTCCATTCACGGCTTCATTATGTAAGCTAAGTGTATGATGTTACAGGCAGGAACCAAGTGGTTCGACGAAATTACGAAAAATGGCATCAACCAAAATATAGACTTCACCCAATACTTCGCTAATAAGAAGCCTACTGTATACCATTGGTCACAAGTACGTAAAGAAAATTTCGCACTAGAACTTCTTCCGCTTTTTACGCTTCTACTAAACGATTTCTTCTTTTTCAGATGGTTTGGGCGAAGACGTATAAAATTGGCTGCGAGATAGCGGACTGTGAAGATTTGAAGAATAAGCAGTACACCATCGTAGTGTGTCGCTATAGCCCTAAGTATGGACAGCATTTAGCAAATGCTTATGCAGTTTACATGTAGCAATGTTCCAATTCAGAGGAAATGTCGTCGGAACCAAAGTATACCAACCCGGCCAGAAACTGGATTGCACATATGGAACATCCGTAGGATATCCTTCTCTTTGTGCATATCCTCCTTTCTCATAAATGTTCACACGAATAAAACTTGTGCATTATGTTGTTGTTCAAGTCTGTCACGTTAGGAGAGTTGCGACGGATCCGTTTTAGATTTGCAGGACCTGCTCCGAAGATCTTTTGTGCTTCCGCAGTCACACCTGTCATGTCAGTCGCTGTGCATGCCTCACGCGACATTCAAAATCTTCAACCACAGAATCTTTCTGCTGCTAAAGTTTGTGGCGTCAGCGAGGGAAGGAAGGGGAAACAGATACAGTCGAGTCGCCTTTATCGCAGTATGTGTATTGCACAGACCAACCAAGTTCGCATCATTCAGACGTCTGATTATAAGAACAAAATTTGTTATGAGTTTTCTCAAGGGTCTCTGTTTTACCAGAGGAAAGCGCAGTACAGGATGCAAGCTCACTCATCGAAAATTATATTAGGGTTCGCTTCCAGAAGAAAGAGCTGATAGTCAGTTTGTTATTGTTGTACGTTAGATAGGTTAAAAACATCAAATCATGTATGTATCAAACTATTTTTTTTAGCTCAATTGAAGCCAAACTGTTTCTACAGATTTGCTTTCCTGCGAGTACAAATGTTTTTATGATTGATTGTAATGGTCGCTGATTTTACCACCTACAAGGTATTTTCTAAGTGTTACGGAACTAGTCAAAACGTGCCATTGCATGTTATCCAGGTATGCACTGCTAATATTTTTCTTGAAACTTTACAGCTATGCAAGTTTAGTGGTAAATATGTGTGCGCAATTCTACATAGGCGCTTCCTACAAAAGGAAAAAGTGTCGGTAGTTACATCTTTGTTAAGCTTGTGTGTAGGAATGCACATTTTCTTTAGCAGTAGAAAATTATAAACTGTAGGTTTCATTATATCTGTTGTAATCCTTATTTCGTCCGTGGGAAGTGTGCATTCAGGGCCCGTAGTAAAATTCCTCTTGGTGTCAAACATGAGGGACTACGCCGGTGATAGCTCGAAGTATTTCGCAAGACTATACATGTACTCAGACAATCAAGGCTCTCAGCCGGCAGCCACAAAGCCGGCTCAGCCCGCTTGCTGCCAGCTCCGACATGGTTCTCAGCGGGAAGCGACAGTGAGGCGATGAGGCCACCGCGCTTTTGGTGGGTCTAGGCGGTGGTTTGTGGCTGCCGGCTGAGATCCTTGATTGTCTGGGTATGCTGTATGGCATTTGCTCAGCAATGCAAGAATGCAATATATTATATTATTCATGCCAGAGTAGGTAATCATTAAATGAAAGTTTAGTAAATGATTTTCCTGGCATGAGCGCGCCCTATTTCTCCATTTTTCAATTCATTGTCTAATGTATGAATCAGTATTCATCAAAAATGGCGATGACAGACGACATAGCAAGATATGTCCATAGACACTCAGTCAAGCTTAGAGAAGTGCCAGCTCCGTGCCGAAAGCAGGTTCTTTGTGAGTGAAGGCATTTTCAAAGACGCCGACCCTGGAAAGTGAAGAGGGTGAGTGAACATTGAAGTGATTGCTGAAGCTAGCGAGGCGCAACGTGGAGAAACATGTAATGCTTTGGCTCTAAAGTCATCAGACAAACACTGATGCAGAGCATTTCTAAGCAAGCTTGATCCGTAAATTACTAGTTGTGTTGATTACCACCTTTGCAATAAATGTGAAATGGGGTATATAACTTATGCCAACACAACGCAGGCAGCGCAGCGCCACTTTCTTACGCCAGTGTGTGTGCTGAAGGTCAGTGGTACAATTCCCACACGATGCCGCCTTTTGCAAATTGCTAGCTAGTTGGTTGTATTTCCATGCAAATAAGTGTAAATCAGAAAATTTAAGCACTAAAGAGAAGTTAGCGCTCAAAACACACAATATTGGAAATGCATATAAAATTCAAATATTATTAAACACCAATACTTTACATACAAAAATTGGCTTTAGGCTAACTAGCGTTAACTCGAGTAATTCGATTTTCGAACATTATTCGAGCTTTGTAAACTTGAGTGTTTCGATTTTCCAACATTGTTCGAGCTTCGTAAACTCGAATATTTCGATTTTAGGCTAGTTAGGCTAATTTAGGCTAGTTATGCTTGTGTTCGATGTTTGCGACTTCACAACAAGCACGTTCGTGCAGTAATTAAGAGGAGAGATATCATTATCTTTGCTCTGCAAAGTTTCAGTTCCACTGTATAAACCACATAACCACATCTTTCTTTCAGAGTGCGACAATCACGATGAATACTTAATTGATTCTACCGGCAGAGACATCATCTTAGAAATCCACAATCAGAAAAGGTAAGTTCGTATCAAAAGTGATACTCAAGAAAATCGTCGACAATCAGTTTTCGCGCTTTTGCAGCGCTTTCGCTACATAGCTTTATTGCCCTGTACAAAAACTGATTTTATTGATTCGGTCATTCTGACTGAAAAGCTAGTGCTTAAGGCAGCTCATTGTGCCAACTTGAAATTTATCCTCAACTGCCTAACTTCATTCGATAATGTTATAATCGTTTCTGCTTGCTGATTATAGCTTAGAGTGCTATGCAGAAGTTCAAAGAAAAGCAGACATTAGCCATGTAAATCATGAATGATAGAGCACACCTCAAAAGGTTTGTATTTGATACTGCCTGAATGTGTTGTGATGTGTGTACCCCCTAATTGTTCTATGACCATACACTTGCAAGGATAAATGTCCATGATTTCTACTACGGTGATGTTGTGCAGTTAGCTAAGACAATTTTGAACATACACTAAGTACTAGCTGATAGTTGTAATCTGTAATCAGGACATGTATAGTCAGCCGAAAAATTGCGTGAAACAAAGGTTGAGAAGTCATTTGCAGATGACTTAATGAAAGTGATAGCGTGCTTTTCAATTTAGGCAGTCCACAGCTAGCGCTGGATACAGAAATGGTGTTAACACCTTCAACATAAGATATGCAAAGAACATGCTGGAAATGGTTGTTTTTATAACGCCCTACCTTCTCGATATCTCTTTTGCACAGAAACTTTTATTAGAAATACGATTGTGATTTGGAAACGAGTGCACACTAGATTGTCTCCGCATGCCCTCAGACAGAAACTTCCCAAACATCACTTACGAATGAGGGTGAAAACTTTTACAAGATTAACAAGGAATACCAAGAGATTGGATCAGCGTCACAAGCCTGTTCGTATTTGGAGTCATCACAGTTAGGGCTTCTCCACTAGCTTGCCCTCAAGGGAGCAGTTTTTCAACCATAGCATTAATGTGTATGTAGATGTGTGATGTTATAGGCAGGAACCGCATGGTTCGAAGAGATTACAGAAAATGGCAGTAACTATTATAAATTATAGACTTCACGCAATTCTTCGCCAATAAGAAACCTACTGTGTACCATTGGTCGCAGGTACGTAAACACAGCACAACCCTTCGCTTCTCTTACGCTTTTATTTTCTAGATGGTTTGGGCAAAAACGTATAAAATCGGATGCGAGATAGGAGACTGCGATGGCAAAACCATCGTAATGTGCCGTTACAGTCCGAAGTAAGCATAGGCCTCAGCATAGTATTATGCAGTTTTATAGCAATGCAACGTACTGATTCAGAGGAAATGTGGTGGGGGAAAAAGTTTACCAGCCCGGTAAAGTACTGACTTGCGAGAATGAAGAATCTCAATGATATTCCAAACTCTGTGCATATCTTCCATAAGTTTGTCAAGAGGATAAATCTTTTGCATTATGTTTTTTTGTGTTCAACATTACCGAAGATATATGCTAGTTAATCATTCTTATGGTATGCTTGGGAAGAAAAGTAGCGGCGCCTCTGCACGGAACTTGAGGCTACTTGTCTTTAATAAAAAACATGGTAGCTTTACTGAGGCAATGAGCGTGCAAGCATAGTTACAGTCATGGTGTCACTGTGATTAGCACATAAAGGTATTAGATTAGTGCAAAACATAATGAGCGTTTTTACGAGTTCTCACTTTGATGACTATCTGAGATATCACCTTCTATAAGATCCACATTTTTTCTTGAGATGAAGGCCATCGAACGCAGCAACTTTTCGCAATACAGCGCACATTCCCCTGCACTTATATCACTAACGGGGAAAAATATGGATTGATAAACAGAAAAGTTTTTTTGATAACTCATCATTAACAACTCATAATTCCCTTCACAGTTTGTTAGTATAGATGATAGGTAGTCAGTCTATCTTGCCGCAAGCCAATGATACAAGAAGCAAAGGGTTTGAACAAGGAAATTTGCGAAAAGAAAAATTTGAAATCAAAATCTCGCAGCTTTTTTCAAAATTTTCTCGAAGGCCTCAAAGTCCCAAATTATGGAGTTCCTTGATTTTCTGCGCACTGAACAGCTAGACGATTTTGCAAAAACTGTTAACAGAAGCCTCTTACGCTTACAGAAATGAGCAAATCTTTGGCGTTTGCCTTTTTCAAAAGAAGTTCATGGGCCACAAAATGGTCAAATCTTCTACTACCCATGTTAAGGCTCCGAGATCTCAGTCTAGATACTTTCAGAAAAAAATACCAAAATGTGCATAACGAGGAAATTTCGATTGCATACAGGCTGAATTTCCAAAAAAATGCCATCATCTACGCTTGTATTCTGATCAAAAATGTGAATGCAATGGAATTTTGGATTGAGTTTGGTTGTTTGAAGCTCTGTAAATTCTTAACAAATATGTCCAGAAGCTCGATTCAAGACAGAGCATGAAAAGAGCTTTTGGTGCTTCGTTTTTGGTATGCTAAGTTTTTTTTTCCAAAGAACAGAGTTTGACGGGAAAAAGTTGTTCTGATACAAGCTAGATAAAGCCCATTATTTTTGCCAACTCTCAATATATGTATGTGGACGATGTAAGCGGATCTTTACTGGAGGTAAAGACCTTACGCTGCTAGGGCATGAATGCTGAAAGTAACTCCTGCAAATCAAAAGGAATATTTGGGTGTATGTCGAAAGGCGCGCGTTTCGGCAGTCGCCAGAAGGGACTTGTACTCTACAAAAGCGAGGTTTCCAAACTCCCAAAGTTTTGTCATCGTATCAAAAATAGTAACAGAGGATTATCAGTTAAATTCCCGGAAGTACTAAACCAAATCCGAACTTTTATCCTGGTTTTTCTGATTAGTGAGTGAATCGATCAATACGCGCCATTCACCGTCTCCCGGAATATTTCTTATGCATGTGTTTTTAGCAACTCGCTTTCTCGTTCATCAACCTTATTGTGAAGTTTCGGCTTGTCCAAACAAAGCCCACTGTTCTGCCAGGACTTTACATTAGTACCTTTAGTTTGGTAGGAATTAGAATACTGACTTGATGAAGCCGCGCGAATCATTGTAAAAACTTCCAAGCATACAAGACTTCTGTGATGACAATGATGTATAGAGTTGAAAGTCCTTGAACAAGTTTTGATGTCATTGCATCTTCGGATTTTCTATATGCTTTCTATAATTCATTTTATTTTCTTTCTTTCTATACTTTCTATTCAGCTTTATGTATTCGGTTGTCCGGAAATTAATGCAGGTTTTGATTTCCAACCGCAATAAGTTGTACACTTCTCATTACAGTTTGCCCTAGTCATGTGGCCCAAGCTAAATTCAAATTTCTCGCGAACTAAAGCTTGTAGAAAGCTGGAAATTTACGTTTGTACTTCTAAAGGTTTGTGGTATACAACTACTTATGTGGGAACGGCACAGCACCACTTTAGCAAATGCACGAAAACTTCCGTTTTCTTGAATTCTAACAGAGAAAAAAAATACGGCAACGGCGCATATGCCTTATGTGGAATGTGTTTACGTGAGCAAGTTAGAACTTTTGTAGGAATTTTATGAACTGAGTTACGATTTTTCTCAATTTTTCGGGCAGTTGAATCTTTTTAGTTATTAGCTCGAAACTCGTGGTGGGTCAGAGCTGTTGTTAAAGCAAGATAGCCATCTTGTAGAGCTTGCTTTGCTCTATCGAATGGTACCTTGCAACCTATTTACAATTGAGAAATGTACGACTTATTGCGGTTGGAAATCAAAACCTGCATTAATTTCCGGACAACCTAATAATAGACAACTGAGTAAAGATTGTTTATTTCATATATACGATGAAAAACCGTTTTTAGGTAATCCCTCCCCCCCCCCCCCCCCCCCGTCCAAGCTCGTAGAATGGATGGAGTGTATGTTCACTGGGTTCAGAAAATGCCGAGTTCTTTTTCATCGTGAAATTCAATAGGATCTCCTTGGGATGTATCAAGATGAGCTAGTTACGATCATACTGTCCCCCAGCGATTGTTAGTACGCTTTAACATCTAAAGTCTATTTAAAGTAGTATGCTCTTTGCTGATCTAAAGATAGAGTGCGAAATTGGAGAATGGGCCCTTGCGGCTCACGTAAAAATTCTTCATTGCAATAGTGTATTTATGACTTCTAGAAGAATAATATCGTCTACGTAGCACATGGACTGGCACAACTTCTCAGACAATTATTGCGAGCACCCGCGGCCCCTCACACCGCTGTTTGGCAGTGCGCGGACCTCGAATTCTTGGATTGATCATCCAGATTTATTCGCTTGGCGTTCCGCAGCTCAGTGTTATCGCGAGGGAAAGGCCGCGGGTTTTAAAGTTTTATCCAAACATCCGCGGCTCAAGAAAAAACACTCGGACGAGCCCCGGGCCTTATAGGATGACAATTGTCATTCAAGCTGGGGATTCCTAAGTCCTTATCTCTCTTGCAACCTGGTCTATACTGACTACATGTTTTCGAAGTCTTCTTACCCTAAAGCAGCCTACAGCATGGTACAGGCAAATATTTACTCGAACCACAATCAAAAAAACATCGTAAAGCTAAAAAGTGAACAAAACAACACGTGAGCGATCATTCCACTTCCCGCAGAAGTTGTGCTCTCATAATTCCTCATAAAATTCTCAACCTGAACAACAAATGCAATACAGATTGTACTACTGAACTGTTTGATAAATGAACTATCATTTCCTAATTTACAAATTATCTAATTCACTTTTTTAGAGTCTTTGCAGTAGTTGAGACAGCTGTAGAAGCTAGGAAAATTGTTATAGTTGCCGTTTGCGCCGAAATAGCTGAAGCGTTCACAAGATTTCACTCCATGGTTCCAAGCAAATCTGGAAGAGATTCACATTGATGACTGGGTCGATTTTCTCATCTAGGGTACTTACCGAGGCCTATCCTCTATACCCTCGGCAAATGTTCCAGAATCGTCCCGTTGGGAGCAGACATAATCTGGAGATTACGGTAATTGTGTACTTATGGAAATTCGCCAGAAATGCCAAACTCACCTCTCGTCGGACAACACACTCCATTCGTCAAATCATGATTTGGAGGGCAATTCGGACTTGGTAACACATATTTTGCATTCAGATTAAGGAAGTTTGAGCCGCATTTCTCAGCTGAATAAGAGATTTTCGAGAAGATACATTCGAGTGATTTGTATCTAAACCTGTTACTGCACAGAAAGTGCGGTATTTCACGACTTATAGGCTTACAAGTTGAAAAATTCTTAGAAAAACTATTGAATTATTCCCCATTTTTCGAAATTAAATGAGTAAGAGCAGGGTGATTAATCAGGTAATCTTTTCAACAGAAGTTCCATCTGCATTTCACTAGGTTTACTACATATCAGAGCGTTGTGAGCTTTCGCGCCATTTGTGCAGTCTCACAGATTGGGTTATAAGCATCTCCATACACTCCACCATACATGGTCGGGCGGAAATCTTTCAGTGAATCATTTTTCAGGCTAACTTTCCAAAAGTTAGTTACCTTTGATCCACTGATCATGGAAATCTCCTCTCGGCAGAATACAGAATCTCGAATACAGCATCGCTTCCTGCCAAAGCAAATGGAGCATTAGCTTTACCACCGTCCGCGCATTTTTCTCGACATTCTGTAGTTGTGGTGCAGCGATTCGAATTTCCACCACATCCACGATATTGGAAGGGTTGGCAGACTTTTGAAAAATAACAAAAGTTAATGATAATGATAAGTCGATAAGGACAAGCTGGTAAAGTCTGTACTAAAACACTTGTAGTTTAGTAAAATTGACGATCAAATGGTGTTCTTGCATTGCCGACAACATCTGCGCGTAAGCTTTACTGGGAGCTTTTACGCGCACGCGTTCTGGAGCTTGTTTTCGAGCAAATGTTGTCGTCACCGCAAGCTCACTAAATTGTTACTACGACAATGTAGAATTGTTGTCAAACGGAAACCCTGCCGGTTTCAAAATTTTTTCGAGATGTTTCTACGTTTTCATTTTCTTAATTCTAAGTGGCTCTCCTTTTTTTAAAATGTTCTTGGACTGTTGAATTCGCAAGGAATCCGAAAATTTGAAAAGGATTTTACGGCAACCTAGAGAATAAAAGTACTTTTACCTCATCTAAGATTTCAAAAACCGAATTCTCACAGATTTACAAAGGTTTCAAAGCAACTTATAAAATAAGATTAATTCCAATCCGCTGAAATTTCAAAAATCCTGCCATTTTAATGCATAGAGAAATTCTCTTTTTTTTCAAAGCCAGATCTGATGTTAATAAACTAAAAAATCTCCGCTTGCTCTATCTTGTATCATAGTAAAACATCCGTTGTGATTGTTGGTCTCAATCTCCAACCTCTTTGGGCTCATGACAGTCCAGGGCAAAAGATAGTGGTGGAA